TGCACAGCGAAAATTATCATAAATTTAGTTAATTGAAGTTTTTTTTTTCCTTCTTATTCTTCAATATTATTTTATTGATGCCATCGAATTTCCAACAATCGATTCCGTATGACATTTGGAACCATGTTGCTGCATTGCTCGATTGCTCGTGATAAAAATGCTATTAATGGCTACTGATTTAGTTTGATTCGAGGGGAAATGCCATCTGTTGGCGACTTTCTTCTCTCTGCCGATTGTTTGATGTGCTTATTTCGTTTTATCGTGTAAATATATTTGAAGGTTGAAACCAAGAAATGAATTCTAAACGTCGAAAAGAACGAGGTAGATGAGCTAAAATGTAGAGACACGTTGATGCGCACATCAACGAAACCAATGTTGCCATACACCATCCCTACCACTTTCATCTCAGCATTTATTTATCCACCTTTTTCTCATGCTTCTCCTATTCAACATCGACCCCAACTGCTTGTATTGCCGACGTTATGTACTCAACAGCATTGGATTGAGGCGTGTCTTATGCTTGTACATAACACAAAATTTTGACCGAACCAAACTCAGTGTTTGTCTGCCTTGAGTCGAGTTGATTTGATTCAAAGCGATGGAACCTCGAAGAAATTCACTTTGAGCCAAAACTAATGCAATCATCGAATTTGACTTTAATTTCATATGGAAATCGGTGGTTTTTTGAAAGTTGATGTTCGACATAAAGTTGCATATGATTTCTACAATTAGTAATATAGAAATTCGGAACGAAATATAACCTAGTAGTGTTTGAGCAAATAGCTAATGCTGAACAAATACAAGTCATACTGGATTGGCCAACCTGCTGAAAGATCGGCCGATGGAAATGCGGCTAGATTGAGAGATAAAGAGAGAATGTGCAAAGAAACGAGAGCTTTTATGCACAAATTGACTGACAAAGAGATAATTCTGATAATGGAGAGATAAGAATCGGATAATCCATGTTTCTGTTGTTTTTTGTTCTTTTCGGCGTTGCACATTTTGCACGTGAATTTTTTGTTTGTCCGGTCTTACTGAATTTCTCACCTCTTCTTCTTCTCCTCCTTCATTTTACTATTTTTTAAAATGTTTTTTTTTGGCAATAGTTATTATTTTATTGCATTTGGTAGTCGGACAGAAAAGGATACGCAGCAGGTTTCTATGTCAACACAATGGCATCGTTTGGTTTTCGTTTGGTTTTTTTTTTACTTGAATCTATCACACTGGCAAATGGGTTTTGTTTGTGGTAGAATATGCAATAGAAGAGATTCGAATTCGTTTGCTCTTCTCTTCTCTTCCCTTGGCTGTTGTCCCGTTCCGGTGAACTCGGCTCCTTGCTGATTCACATACGCACAGTAGCACTTTCGAAACGAGCATTTTTGGTCTAGGACATGGAAAAAGACGCAAAGAAAATAAATAGATAAAAAACGATAATGTGGTGAGATGCTTGAAAATCACTTGTCCAGTTGTTGTTCGGCCACTCGTTCGCTTTTTATTTATTTTCATTGGAATCAATTCTTTGTACGATTACAAGGTGGAAGCAAAGAAATGTGTTTGCCTGTGGAATAATTGAGCTTCCGTTGGGTGCATTACTTCGTTTCGTCTTGCCACATTCACCAGAATCAATATTTTCATTGCAACCTAACAAAATACTAACAAACCCGGTGCTGAGAATTGGAATGAGAGAATGGAAATGCATGATCAAATTTGAGTCTTTTTTCCCATGTGATCGTTGAAACGACATCTCCAATCGAAACCCATTGAGTGAAAAATGATGCAATCCCAATCGCAAATCACAAATCCAACGATCGCATTGTTGTCGAAACATATGGAAATGCTTATCGTCGACAGTTTACGACGATTTGCGATCCCACTCCACCATGATAGAGAACACGAATTGATTCTTTTCACGAGCATATCGCCACCCAAAGTGATGTGATGACGAAAAAAACCGCGTTGAGCTTCATACACAAATAAGTGGATCACACACGCCTTACGCCAATTCCCAAGTCGCGACCAAATCTTATCTGTTTCGCTTCGTTGCCAATGTATTGTGTGTGTGCTTTTTTTCACTTCAATTTGTTTTCGAAGAAGACGTCGTTTGTTTTTTTCCGCACATATTCTAATAGTGTTGAATCAGTAAAACAACGGAAAAAAAATTGAAAAGAAATGATAAGGTGATTTTGATTAGTGTATACACAAAAACACTTTGGAACACTAGCAAACCAACTTACCCATTCGTTGACCGGTCGTATTGATTTATTTGTTCACTCCGAGCACGATCGTGTTTCGTTCGTGTGCGTTTTGCTTATTCTTTCTTCCACATTTGCTATCTCGCGCTTGCAGGCAATGGCATTCATTTTGCTGCACAGAATAAAATCACGATTTGTTGAAGAAACATTTTTCTTGCAATTGTGTGTGTTTGCGTGCGCCCCACGCTGGAGTTGATAGCAGAATCGCGACACAGCAAATATATTTGTTTTAATTATGATTTTAAAACTCAGTGTGATTCAAAACTTGCTGGTGGTGGTAGCCGGCATCATACGGTTCGTTCGATCACCGAAGAACCACACTGGTCGCTTCGCTTTTTATCAATACACAACGTATACATTGATGTGGGGCAAGACAAAAAAAAGTGTAATCCACGTATAAAAATAACGCACGAACAAGACAAATCTTAAAATGGGGAGTTGATAAAAAAAACACACTTTTCGTGTTGATTCGCCTTTAGTTTAACCGTATTTATTTTCGCATCATTCGTTTGATTTCGTATGAGTTCGACAAATCTGATTGATTTGAATTTTTTCTTTTGAATCAATTCATTTGATTTGCACGGCCGTTTTGTTTTTATTCACAGCGATTTGCTTCCTTTTATTTCGCAACGAAACATATCTACAAACGAACAATATTTGATGGTATTTATTCTGACATGAATTTCGCGCACGTATGCAATTCAATTGGTGATAATCGAAGCACGTACAACAACGGCCGCAACAGTACACGAACATCTCGCACTGGTTCGCTCTCTCTCTCTCTCTCTCTCTCTCTCTTTCTTTCGCCGCAAAAAGGACATCGAAATTTTCGGTTCGATCGTAATGAACAGAGAGAAAAAAGAATGAAATGAGAAAAAGAAACATTCGCATCGCGCAAAAGATAAAGAGAAAACGCAAATAGAAAAAGCAGCAAGAAATTTAATGGCAATAATAAATTTTGTTTGATTTTAATTTTGATTCGTATTCGTATTGAAGTAAACGTTGGCTTCAACTTGATCGTCGGAAACAGTGTTGCTCGGTTAGGAAAAGCGGCTGGCGGCACAGTCCGCTTCGGCCAAAGTCAAACGCAACCAAACAAGTTACAAAGTCAAATGTAGTTGAAGTTGATTTCGTTAAATTTAGTTGCAGCCATTTGATCAGTCACTTGCATTTTGTCTCAATCGCAGTTCAAATGGTAAATCGATCGTTGATTTTAAACATTTCGATGAGTTTTTCTGTGTCTGCGTTCACTTCTGATTACAATTGTACAATGATTCAACTCTTATTGAACTACAAAATCGTCCATTATTCTTTTTCTATTGTTATTCTTCCTTCTCCGTCTTGCACGACAAATTAATTTTATTGGACGTAAACCGGTGGATGCACTCCCAGTAATTTCAGTTCCAAACAAAGACAACATAGAGAGATAATAAACACCGATTTAGAAGAGTGTGCAACAAAACGGAAAATATTCCACTCAGCGAATTTGTCTCGACATCTCAAGTATTTATCTTAGAGCTTAGCGCCATAAATAATTAAGCAAATGTGCGATTATCATTCATAACTTAGAAGAAAACAAAACGAAGGCCCACACACTCATATGCGAACAAATAGCAAAGATATTGAAGAATAGTTGATTTTGCCTACGATTTGAAGCGATGTGCCGATTCACGATGAAAGTGTTTTGTGGGTGTTAGCCGAAAAATTAGTGAAAACGAAAATGCTCTTGAAACATTTTTTTATCTATCTTGAATGCAGAACAAATATTCATTCGACTATAAGCGTTATCCATTCGTTAGAATAACTTTTGCCTTAAAAAAAAGTATATCAAATCAAATGAGCTGATGAGAAAATGCAGAAATATGCAGTTTTGTTTTATTTTCCAATTCGAATGGTGCGAATAGGAAAAGCGGCTTCAATCTAATTTTCATCGCTTCATTGATAAGTTCAATCATTTCTGATGCAATGTGAGACTTCCACAAGGCTCATTTGATTTTTATTTAAGTCGATAAAAGATTTTCAATCGCATCCATTCTTCGATGAATCGAATCGTGATTCCTTTTTTTCTCGGCCGATTTTTAACCTTGAGCTCTTTGACAGCAGTCATTAGTTCATGACTTCAGTTTCCCTATGACGGAGACAACAAAACAAAGACTATATTTTAAAAAAGGTTTGAATAAAAAATCAAACAAACAAAATTATCAATGGGTTTCCATTAGGAACTTTATTTCTATATCAACTGCGCGAATATGTACTGTACTGTACAGTAAAGCCGTGACCCATACCGAGATTAATCGTCACTGGCGAGAAAAACAACTTTATGGTGACATCGAATAAGTCTGGTTTGACTGTATACAATTTTGCTGAATAGTCAGAGGAACAGAGAAGAATTTTCAACTGATAACATATCGCGTGATTTCTCCTACCAGCTTTTTTTCATTCGCTTCCAATGTCCAAATTTAGTTAGCACTGCCTAATTTAGTTTGAGATCAACGATCAATCTTTAGTCAATCAAATCATAGTCATTTCGAACATTTGCCCATTCACAAGCAATTTTTTTTTCGCATCATACACGAGTCGTGTGATAACAGTTTTTGTGGTGTCATGCTTAGAAAAAATAAACACGTGATTTACTAAATACATTTTTTTACTTCTATTTTCAAACTATTCATCTTTAAAAAAAAATCCTAGTTCAATTGAAAAAAAAAAAAGATAATCGATCCCAATTTTTCAATTTTGTCATTGCAGGAGAGCGAAATTGTTGAAGTACTATGGAAACAGGACGTTGATTTGGGTTACACTTTAGCGCCAGTTAAGTCAAGTTCACCCAAGGAATCGGCTACCGTTTCTGGACCATCGTTCAGCACCGAAGACAATGAAAAATTAAAAGCACTTCAAGAACTCAAAAATGACAAGGTAAAATTCATTTTTCTATGTACGAAAAAACATTACAACATTCTCTCACTCACGATGAATTGGAGAAAATAAAAATCAAATTACTAATAGAGATCGAATATTTGAACATTAGAATTAGAATTTGAAAAATATTGAAGCTAAATTGGCATAGCTGGTGATTTTAAAGTGAATATTATTTTGAAATTTAACAATTGGTGCAAAGCCAAAACAGGATGAGGCCAAATCGCCTTTGGACGATGAATGGGCTGGCATTAATTTTACCGTCGACAATGAAACTGGTACGTATCATATTCCATTTTGTGCATATATATGTGAATTGTGGGGGGAAATTATCAAAAAGAAGTCGATTTCGTGTGCATTCTTTTGAACATTGTCTCCTCCAATTTTATTATCTTTTGAGCAAATATCATAATTTAAGTAGTTCTTATTAAATTCACACACATTTGTGAATTTACTGTATTTTGTTGCCACGTGATAAAAAGTGTGGATTCGATGGATTTGTGCGCAACACTCGGTTGAACGACTAAATTCGTTGGTCGTTTGCTTGATTATTTCAATGTTATTTCGTTGAAGTGTACGTTCCATGTTGCCGGGCAGATTCCATCTCACATATTGGTTCGACAAAGCCATTAAATATAAATTTCGGATTTAGCTCTGGTTACATTCAAAAGAAAGCGATATCGCCCTTATTATTTACACACGCAATATCCAACCGAAAACCGTCGAGGGATGAAGCGAACCAAAAAAGAGAAGAAGAAAGAAAATCAAAAGGCCCTCGCCACTTACAGCCCAGATAATATGGATAATACATCAAATCTACGCGTATATATACACACACTCTCTCTAGCACTCGCTCGCTCTCGCTCTCTCTCTCTCTCTCTCTCTCCCCCATACTCTCAGTCTCTTGTTCCAACTGAATATCCGACAATTTTCAAAAAATGCGGTACGCATTTCAAATGTTCCATTTTCGACGCTGTTGTGTGTTTTCGTGTTCTATCGTTGTTGTTGATTTTTTTTCACTCTGATATTCCTCTTTTCTTTTCCATTGGTGAAAAATGATCGAAACATTACTTGCGTTTCCTCAATATTAGAATCTGTTATTTACGTTGGGATGTGCGTGGTACGAATTTTCGGTTCGTGTCAAGCATTTGAAATGGTGCGTTTGTATTTATATATCAAATGGTTTTGTGCACGTTATCGATTCAAATGCACGAAAGGCGGCGGCGACGGCAGCAGCAACAACAACAGCATCAGGGCACATAGAATGCCATATCGTACCCAAATGAGGAATAAACAAAAAATACGAATATTTTGGGCTTGAGAGAATGAGAAATGTCGTCATTAGGATTCGTTGTTGAATATTCAAGCGATCGCGTTTCCAAGCCCACGCAACGCATTACCACACTCATGCAAATGGTATATAAGCTCGGAAAATTTTGACAATGTTCGTAAATTGCAAATGTGAAGTTATGATGAAACATTCCTAACTTTCGACATTTTGGTCGATATTTGTAAATTGAGTGGCTTCGGTTCACTCCGAGAATTTGGTGTGGCGATGATGTAAAGTTCTCGGCTATGCCACATTTTAAACTTTTCATTGTTTATTTGATGAGGCTGGATTGTTCTTATCGCTGCTCAACCGATTGACACGAACGAATTAATATCGCTGCGAATGTTGTGATTCGTTCAAACCGTAACAATATTTCGGCATCCCTTTGAATAGCCGGAAAAATTTGTGCAAACAAACTCGAATGGCAAATGCTCAAATCCACCAGATCACGAAACTAAAACGACATTCAAAATCAATAATAATAATTCCGTATTTAGCTTAATCCATGGAAAGCATGACTCGAGTTCTTCTGGTCATACACATTTCGGCGCACGGATAGAAGAAATACAAAGATCAGAAACGGGGAACGAGAATGAGAGAGTTTTGCAATAGTTACGCAAAATGGCCGAGCGAATCAACCTTTGACACACCAATTATACCAATGTGTATCCAACGGAATGATATGTTTGCCGTAATATTTTTTTCCGTCATGGCAGACGTGGAAGGAAATGTGTTATTGTGAGAAGGAAAAAAGTGTATGCGAGTGCGTTTTTGGAAATAAATTCATCAAACGCGGCAGATATGAGATCATGTCAGGGTGCGCACAATCACCAGCATGATTGTGTACAAAAGTCATATATATATATTTATATATAAATGGTTGCACGAATGTTGAACATCCACGACACAAATAATCCGAGTCGACAAAAGAATATCGGACAATAATGTGTGTGTGTGTTTGTGTGTGTGTGTGTGTGTGTGTGTGTGTGATACAGACGCGTTTAAATTATTATACATGGCATGGCGGTGCGCAATACATATTATTTCGTGAAGAGTGTTTTTTCTGCCTTTCTTTTTGGCTTGGTTGTCAGTTCGCTTGCGCTGAGATGATGCGTTTTTTTCTGCTCTTCTCGTTCGACCGAAGCTGTATGATTTTCTTTTGATTTCGATGATATTCTGGGCTTTTTGTTCAGTTCTGTAGCTATGGGTCCAGGCGCTGCGGGTAACAGAGCAGCCAATCAAAATGAATAGACGAGCAATACAGAGCTAAATGTGGAAAAAGATATTCACAGAACTTGAATACAACAAAATGAAAGAATCAAAAGGGAAAAGAAGAAGAGAGAGAAAAAGTTGACGTGTTGCTTCAGATTCTTCTCATGTGTGTGTGTGTGTGTGTGTGTGTGTGTGTGTGTGTGTTTTTGTGAGGCGGAAAAATCTCTGAAGAATCTAATTTTGTATTGTTGACCGAATAATGAAGACATTTTTCCATTGAATAACAAAAATATGATTCCATTGTTTGCATCACACAACAACTCTCTCATTCCTACGCTTCTCACCTGTGTATTTTCTTGCACTCTTTCGCACTCACTCGGGGGAAGTGTGTTCATAAAGTTTATGGTTTGGTTTCATCTTTTTCGTTTTTTTTTATTTTAATTTTAATTCGGATTTCGTTTTTCAACCGTATTTATCAAAGCTGACCCAAGAGAATGTTTTTTTTTTGGCTTCAAAACTTCTTTCTCGCCTTGCTTCATGCCTTTCGGCCGAACTATAAGGCGGTCTCATGTCACGATTTAACAATGCGCATAGCGTATCAAAAGTCAACACATTTGAAAGGCAATACACTTAATTTGGAAACGTCAGCGGGGTTTTGGAAATGATATTGTTTTCGTCTTTACATTCTTTGTGGCTTTGTTACAATCGAGCTGAAATCCAATGAGAAGAGAGTCCAAGTCGCATTCACTCGCTGCGATGGCGCGCACCCAACGGCTTATTTGGAAAGTGAAATATGTAAACGGTCGTAATAATAGCAATTAAAATTATAATTTTAAATTTTCCCATTTAAATGAATCATCGCAACAATATGCGAAGAGAATTGGAATGGGGAGCGAAAGCATGTGGAAATTTCACATAGTGTTTTCCTTCGTTCGATTAATTTAGCCACTGGCCAATTTCAGTTTGTTTTTTTTTTTCCTCTTAACAATGGGCTCGGTTCGGCAATTTTGGGGCAGGGAATAATATTTCGCTGGTGCGAAGAAAAAACAACAAGTCAAAACTTGCACGAATTCAAATTATTAACTTGCTTTGGATTTTCACATCGCAGACGTTGGCCAGCGGAACATAATGTGTTAATTGACATTGTATACATACACACACACACACACGCACAATCCGAGAAAATTGCAACGAAATTAAACGAACAATTCGAGGGAAAAAAAAGCGAGTCGAAAATCACCAGAATTAACCGAAAAAATAAGATAGAAAGAGTGAATTCGATGTTGTTTTGAATGCTTGAGCTAAAACAATGAAAATGCTCACGGAAAATCTGCTTGTAATTGTTTTCGTTTCCAATTTGGAAATTTCTTTTCGTTCCGCAAAACAAACATGGCAACCAACTCTGGAAATCCACGGTGCACGGTGCACATAAGATTACGAACTTTTCTTCACTTTAATTTAATTAAGCCGTTTAGCCAAAAATAAGTAAACGAACTTTAGTTTGCCATTGTTTTTTTTTTTCTGTCTTCTTTCTCATTTCGTTTCTTTTGCCAAGTTAAATTGATCGACATTCTCACTCAATTTCAATACCCAATAAAAAGGTTTGATTATTTGATTTAGTTTTTCAAGCCACTATTGATTGCCACATGCATGGCAGGCAATTAACGAATCCATTCGGTCCCGGAACAGGAAATTGGAATTTATGCGAAATTGAACGGCTGTCAAATGTTCCATCCACACTGATCCACGCATTGCAACTGAACGTACATATGTTTACGATGAATTGCCAGGACGTTCCACAGAAGAAACAAAAACATATTGTTCGACGATAAGATTGGGTCATTTTGTGATTTGTTTTAGTAAACAACTGGAGCACAGCTATGGAAAACTCTAAAAATAATTGAATAATAAATATGATTGGAAGTATGCAGGCCAAGTTCATGTTCTAATGATATATATATATATATATATATATACCGTTTGGCGGCAGTAGCGTATTTGAACATTTGTTTATGACGGGTATTTTTCAATTATTGTTCGTGTTCATTCGTTCGTTCTTTTGTTCATTTTCATCGAATATTCTAATTCGAGTCCCGAACTTTTTCGAATTTCATTCTGAAGGAAACTGATGGAATTAACATCGCGGTGTGAGCTAGGGTCACAATTGTCGAAGATTAACGAATTCGAATCGATCGAATGTGTGATGAATCGCAATATTCGAAAACTAATGGAATTAAGAGCATCGAATTTAAATAATATTAATAGATCAAATGAGATTTTCTCTAAAGTCATTGGAATCATTCACTGAACACGAGATCCAAATCTTGCATTGACATCGATTGAGGCATTTAGACAAGTTTTACTGAACGTTACTAATTAAAACTCAATTTAAATCAATTAAACTAAAACGGTAACAGTGAAATAGTATAACACAATGTGGGCACGGCAATCAAAAATTCATGCGTTGTGTCACTGATCACAAGCTGATTTTACATTCTCGATGTGGCTGTGCGTGTGGTTTGTTTTTCGCATTCGTTTCTCACAAATGATATCGAAACCAATGGATTGCTCGATGGCTACAAACAAACAAGGCAACAACTCATCGAGAACAGAAATTTAATTTAATTTAATTAACAAACACAAAACGGTTCAATTGAGCACAAGACAAAGAGATGAAGAGAGAAAAAGTGGCGAGAGAACGAGAAAGAGAAAAAGAAATTGTACGAATTTACGTAT